AGAGACGGCGAAGCCGTATGATATCTGCAAGACGCAGAACATTGACCCTGACCAAGGGTGTGCCTACCGTAGACGATAGAGCACAGCTATATACCCTAGTCACGGTATGACGGGAGAGAAAGACGGCGACGTCACCCTCGAGGCTATTCCCGCGGTGGATGCTCTTCTTGAGCTAAACGATGATCTCTTGGAAGAGTTTGGCGGTGCCTCGAAGGCAAGAAATTTAGCCGAGGTGGTCATTATAAGACCGAACAAGGAGATGAACTTGTCGCCGCTTCTGGATGAAGCTGTCCTGAGGACACTAAGAGGTGCTGAGCGCCCGAAGTAGATCATCGATCTTGATGGATCCATCGGATCTGTATTATTCTTTTAATAAAGAAATTTCAAGACGCCGTCTCCAAAGACCCGCCGTCGGTCCTACCACAGGACGGAGGTGTGTGTCATAAGATTGACCTAGTTCCGGGATCCAAATCCTGCGTTACACCCCAATGACCCCTGCCCAAAAAGCAGTCTGACGTCATTGACGTCTTTTTCCGAGCGAAATACGAGGCAGGAATGGTGCGTGAGAGCAAGTCTCCCCATTCGACACCCACATTTCGTCTTCGGAAGCCGAATGGCAAGTGGCGTATCGTTCACGCTTTTAATAAGCTGTACACTGCTACCATTCCGGCACAAACGCCAAGTCCTAGAAAAAATGTTCTCCAGAACAATATGGTTGGCTGTACAAAGTACAGCGCACTCGACTTGTCGATGGTTATTACCGATTGCTAATGAGAGCGAGTGATATTCTGCTGATAGCGGGATGCCCTGAGAGTGGCTGGTGATGCCCTATGGTCTGTCAAATGAATTAGCAACATTAAACCGTCGTGTGCCGCAATTGTTTAGGCCCCATCGGGCGTATGCGCAGATTTACATTGACGACATGTTCGTCCGCAGTCGCGCGGGGCACGGGAGGACACATGTCGCCCATTTGTGTGCGGTGCTCGAGTATAAGCGCATGAATAAGCTGTATGTTGATGCCATCTTCGGCGCGGAACAAATTCCCATTTTAATGTGCTACATTGAGAAGCGTGGCTTTTGAGCGGATACCGCTTAGGTCGAGGCCATTGTGAACTGGTCGTTGTGAAGAGCCAAAAGAACTTGCGCAAGCGGCTTGGCCTCGCCAGCTACTTGCATAAGAATAGCGCAAACTATGCGGAAATGGCACGACAATTGTCTAATCCCCTTAAGACGGATAAGGAACGGTGATGGAATACCGAGTATCGTTAGGCTTTTGGCAGGGTCAAACGGAACTTCTCTTCATGCACCGATATTGGCGTTGCCAGACCCCAATCGTCCTTTTAGTGTCGTCTGTGATGCATCAGACTTTGCCATCGACTGTGCACTGCTGCAAGCAGACGTCGATGGACGAGATCGGGTGATCGGGTTCAATCCCGCTTACTTAAGGTTGCATAGATAAACTATCCAGTCCGCGACAAAGAATTACTTGCGATGAAGTATGCATTTGTCAAGTTCAGGGTGCTCCTGCTTGACTCCAAGACGTTTGTGATCGACACAAATTATACGTCACTACGCACTGCGACTCAGTCGCCTCTCCTCTCGCAGCGGATGGCCGAGTAACTCTCCTTCGATGCAGAATATATTTTTGAGATGAAGTATAAGCCAGGAAAGCATAATGCTTTGGTTGAAACGTTGTCACGCAGACCGGGCTATGAGCTTGCTCAAGTCACGACGGCGACGTCGTCATTGACATATCTGATCCGCGCCGCATACGCGGGTGACAGTATGTGTGTAGCACTGCTCCTGGCTTGGGAATGCAAGGAGTTTGGAAATTCAAACAAGAAATTGTCGGCGCGTTGGTGCACCCATAAACCGTTAAATAACGGGTTGCTGTATTATTGGAACGGTTCGTCGGATGCGCCACGAATTGTGGTTCCTCACGATGAAGCTTTTGGATAATATGTCCTCTATGAGGCTAACGACATCGCACTCAGTGGTCATCTCGGTCGTGAGAAGACGTATAGCTCGGTGAGTTGCCACTACTGGTGGTCCAAGCTGTACAAATGGACGAGCATATGTGCGCACGTGTGAGATGTGTCAGAGGGTGAAATACTTTCCGAATGCGGCGGTGCTGGCCATTGAACTACTACCCTCCGGAAGCTGGCAGTCCATGAGTATAGACTTTTTTAGCCTGCTGGAGGACGTGGCGGGAAACACCGGTGTCTTGATCTTTGTGGACCGTTTGAAAGATGGCTCATCTTACGGTAGTGCCGGACACCACCGACGGCTGGGTACAGCGACGCTGTTTGTCGATCGTGTCTTTCGACAACATGGATCCCCGGAGTCAATTGTCTTTGATAGAGATCCGCGCTTTACTAGGAAGTTTTGGTCTACAATCTTTAGGGTGCTAGGCACCAAGTTGACTTTGTCAACAGCGTACCATCCGCAGCCTGATGGTCAGACTGAGCGCGTGAATCGCGTCGATGAAGATGTTCTTCGCAGCCTCTGCGCTGAGACACCGAAGCGCTGGGGCGCTATATAGCTACTCGTAGAGTTTGCTCTGAACAATGCAGTGCATTCATCAACCGGCTATACGCCGTTCTACGTAAACGGGCTTATCAAATCTCGCGTCCCGCTGACGCCGACATCCCATGGCTCAGGGCTGCGTAGGGGAGGAATAGCCGAACGGCTAGCTGACTTCAGCCCCCTCACGTTTTGTAAGAAAGTCGATGTCTTGCTGCCTACCAGACTGAGTATCCTACGACACGTTCGCGATGCGATGGCTGAAAACTAAGACATGCAAATAAATATGCAAATGGAAGAAGCAGAGAAAATATGGAGGATTTTAATGTTAAAGACCTGGTTTTATTAAATGCTAAAAGCTTTCCTACACATGTAGTTTCTGCTGAGATTAAGATAAATTTCTGTCTTCCGTTTTATTAGACGTCTTAAGCTCGTGGCCAAACGAGGCCTGGAATTTACGCTGAGCCATTCGAGAAGGATGCGCATCTACCCGGTCTTCTAAGTGGGCTTGCTGAAGCCGTACCGGGATCCGGCGCAAGTGAACGCAGAAGCGCTCGCGCGGTCCACTGTCGCACGAAGTGATGTATTCGTCTGCTCTAAGGCTAGTAGCCGCTCCGACAAACATCGCGAGTCACCGGAAGGCGATCAACCAGGTCGATATCGTCCGCCACCAACTCTTCTTGTTAAGACTGACGGCATCCACTACCACGTGGAACACAGCGGTCGACAGCTTCGAACACAACATCTTGTGAAATAGCGGATACTCAAACACCGAGAACTCGCGGGAGTAAAGTTAGGTCACCACTAAAGCCTTAAACAGACAAACGAACACTTCGGTTCGAAATTAAAAGTGTATTCGATTGTTTTAACTGCGGCTGTGCTGCCAATATTTAAACCCAAAGTTTTCCTAATCAATATAATATTTTCTCCTATCTAATTCATATAGTAATATGTGGCAATTCTGCCACGTGGTTGGTTCTTATTACGGTGTAGTTATACCACTGTTATAATACTAAAAATTTTCTGGAGGTATTCAGACCTGTGTGCTCCTCGCAGAGGATACTGTCCTGTCGCGACTCGATTGCGTAAGTGCCTACAAGTTCTACCAAGTGCAACAAGGATACCGTGCAATTTGCACAGTGGAAGCTTTGACACCCCAAAGTCCGAATTATAAACACACAACTGTGTAAAATACAACTATGTACGATCACATATTCTTGTGCGGCCCACCCTTTCTTACAAGGGCAAGTGAAACCCCGTTACACCCCCCATTAAATTTATGAATATTCTTAATTCACATTTAACGGTCGCTTGATTTGAGGCTCGCGCGTCTGAGACACCTTCACGTTCATAAAAACAACTTTAATTTTTCTCCGCTATATGAGCACTGTGTCTATGACACACAAAACACCCAGCATAGCTGGTAGCGAGGGCGCCTGCGGGCATAGCCCTTCTTCTTCTGCACAGGGTGCATCTCCGGCCAGTACGTCCGCGGCTGCACGGAAAGCACATTCAAGCCCTCGGCAACCAGGCGCAAAACAACGCCGCCCCGGGCGACGAATCTCCACGCCGAGTTGGAGAAATTGGACTACGAATTGGACTACGAATTGGACGCTCCTTTTCCAGTATGGTATGACGAGGCAGATAAAGTGCGCCAACGGCGCGACGTGACCCCAGCTCAAAATGTCCCCTCCCCCAACCTCTCAGCTTCCGGGAGAAGTGGTATGATTACTAATCGCCTCGACGAGGCGCAGGAGCATCAATTGGAGGCTGCTCACAGGGCGGCTCTCCTGCGCTCGTATCCACGTTCGGTCGTAGACCCTCGTGTGGAATACGGCTTCCGCTCGACGGATCCGCTACTGATGTGAAAGACGCGATCACTCGATCGTTTAGCGTCTACGTAGTCAGACCTCCAGCCACTACACAAGCTAAGCATGATCAGCGGAAAGCATGGTACCACAAGAGATCCCAATGGATCGGTACCGCGCTCGACAGTTTATTGACTTTCACATCCTCAGAGCTTGGGCTATGTATAAATCAAGTTTATTTTCCGAAAATCTGTCAATTCTTCTAGCACTTTACCTTTCCCATGATTAGGCCGATTTTTCCCGTGTCTTAGTCCCAAGCATTACGCCTACATCTCCGTTTTACATCAAGTATTTATTCATTAAATCATCTCCATTTTATATCAAGTATTTTATTCATTCTATACACTGAGCAAGTGTTTCCTTCTCAACGATCTTCATATTATCAAAAACATTTTAATGGCCTCTATTCGATCAGCAAGCTGTAATTAGTTATCAATTAATCTGTATTGATAATCTGAGTTACCTAAGTTATCAAAGATGAAAGTGCAGCTGACTTAGGCATTCCCAAAGGCAGCAGAAAGTAAGCTCAAGTTGATAGATTTTATCCTCATGATGACGGTGGCATACCTGGTTGAAATCACTTTGACGGCTAAGGCGACTTGACTAGTACTATATGAGCCTTTTTATTTGGGAATCGATGAGTGTAGCGAGTACAACATAGCTGTACTCAGATTGCCGCCAGTCTTTAACACCGAAACCGAAATTAAAAACATCACGCAATGTACATGTCATATCAATCATCGCATAGAGCGAAGGAGCAAAGACACCTTCACCGGAAGAGGATGAACGAGATCCCTGTATAGTAGAGTAAAGTAATTCAGCGTGTTCGAAAAGAGCGCGGTACTTCAGACTTGAAAAAATCGCGTTCACTCGCTCTTTTTCATCATTTAGGCCCGTAAAAATATGAGCATCAAAATCGAGCGTCTTGAATGCTTCTTGAAGTGTAAGTTTATGAAGGTCCTGCCCCTCTGCTGCCTTCTTCAACTTTTCTCTCAGGTCATCAAGCTGATGTTTGAATTTGAGGTTCTCAATCCTGTACTTAAGTATAGCTTTCAGACGTGTCTCATCCTTGTTGAAACGTGTTTCGAGGCCCACCAATTCCTTTTCTACATCCTCTCGGTCTTCCAATCTCATTGGATCTTCGATGTCCATTTTCCAGCGAATTCGATTTGAGCGAAGATCTGAGAGCTCGACATGGTACGACAGCTCCAGCATCTTCTTGTCGTATCTGAGAAGATCGTCAATAAACTCTTGTCGCTCTTTAACAGAAAGTTGCTCCCAGCGACGAAGCATCATGTTTTTTTCCGGGTTGGTCATCCATATTTTTTGCTCCAAAACAATTTTCATCATATTGTAAAAGTCATCCTTCTCCTCTCTGAGTCTCGTCAAAAGTTTGTGGTCGTTCTCTGGATGCATCTCTAGGAATGTTTTAACTGAATTAATGATATCCTCAAAATTCCACCTTTCTTCCGCTGAAAGGTCCCGGGTTCGCAAAGACACAGATTCAACTCTCAGCAACACCAAAGCAGCCGCCAATAGACATTGGTACACCTTCATTTTTCTTGATCGTTCACCACGTGTCGAATTCTTTAATGAAAGAGCTAGTCAACCCTGTGTCTGCTTGATGTGTAGAAAATAACCGAATGATCACAGATGTTTTCTGCGAATTTTAATGCTGCCTCTTAATCTAATATCTTGTCGGAGGAAGACTCAAGAAAGAAAGTCGAAGCGATGCATAAAAATAATACGATGGTCTGAGCAGATTTGAGGATGTGTTCAGGAAATCTTATCGACACCACAACCTTTGGCAACTAAAATCTCATTTATCGGCTGTAGACTATCTTCACTACCAAGTAAGTGTTGCAGAACGACGAAATGTGATAGCGATCTGAATAAAATTGAAGCACTTAGAGCATTCTTGCTCTAGGATATAAGCTTAAGAGTATATTTTATGCACAAAGAGAGCTGCATATGTATCAATCTGTTTATGATGATTGTCTGCCTCTGTTTTCTTTCAAAGACGAAGTGCCCAGATCTGTTGGGTTGTAGACTGGGCTATGTGAGACCATGAAAATTGATAATAAACAAAATGCGCGGTTGCTGAATACAAGCACCATTTTCGTGCGTCTCGCGACAAGAATATAGTGAAAGCTGTCTTGAATGATTCATAATGTCAAAAACAATTCACAGCGTGGAATCTTTGACCAAGATTGAAGATACTTCTATTTATTTTCGGGATGGCCTTGTTGAATTGCTATGAGCCATCAATAGACTGGAAGTCAAAGGCGTTAATGCATCACGTATATCTATCCTTGTAAAATCTTTGAGAGGGTTATGATCCCATCACTGCCGAAAGCAAAACATTTTTTGGTGTGCACAAAGCTACAACAGCTTTGACGCAGGACATGGAAAGGTCCAAAATAAGTAGCGATAGTACACCTTAAAGCTTAGAGCCATACTCGATACGAAAAACAGTTGTAGGCTGCAGTCAATAGATGAGACGAACATCAGCTATCCTACGTTGTGATGACCAATGTTGACCCTGCTAGGGCAGATATTTACAGCTTCCTTGATATTACATCTGATGGAATGAATTAAGGCAACTACGTCTCGAGTCTTCAGACAGGCAAAGCCCTGATGTACTTAAGGGTTGGTCTACTCTCATTGCGATCTGACAACACAGCTGTTTCTGCAAAACCGATTGATGTGCCTGTCGTGCGACACATTGAAGCTCAACAAGTTTGTAGCACACTCGTGACTGAAGACCACGTAAGTCCCAAGGATCTTAGTCTCCGCCCACTTCTCCAATCAAGAACTTTTTTGATCTTGAAGAACTATCGATGTATGCAGGAATTACAAAACGGTAAGAGATTACAAAGTCGATACTGGTAGACGGACATCCTACATCCTTTGAGAATGAGACAGTACAACCGCAAAGCCCCCATTGCGAGGATGCTATTATTATCCAATCAGCTTATAGAGATGCATATACTCAAGCCTTCACTCAGGTGTTCGACATTGAATATCTACATGCGAATCTTTTCTTCGGCTAGTATCACTTTAACCATTACCGAGTATCAATCATGAAGCTTCATCATGGCACTTCATCAGTCCGAAAAATTACTCATACGCACACCATGATAGGTGTCTTGGTCAGAAACTACGCAGCATCTTCGCAACAAACAACGCAATTTTTTTCATTTTGACTTTGTCAAACTGTATGGTACAGTGAAAAATAACACCATGGTATGGTTTGTATTACACTTACCTCAGACTTGAAACCGTGGTATACATAGTTTCTTTTAAGACGGTAGGATTGTGATGAAAAGCTTGCAATAAAATTCGGCTGTAAATGTTTAGTCACTGTCTGATGATCATTTGAAGCTTGTATACTCTTTTAATGTAACAATCTATCACAGTTTAATGATGCGTGACTGACTCAATATTGTAACAATACGCCACATCCGCAACTTTAGAATCTGAAACAATTGACTGGCTGCACCCTGCTGTCACTACTATTAATGAGATACCCAGGCAAACAAAGGTTTGTAGCATCTTTTTGTGGATGGATGTGCTCAGCAGCGATATATATAGTGCTATAAAGGTTTAAAGAGTATATTATATTCACTTATCACAGAACGAGTTCAAAATGACACGTCTGGTAAAATAGGACCGCAATGCATATATTCAATAGAGATGGCGAAAGCATTGGTAACGATAAGTTCTGCGTCCGCAAAAGCACGTATGTTATGTCGCCGGATATGTAATAACAGTGTGCACAGGTAGCTAGCTAGCTACCTTAGCTGTTTCAATCTTGCTAAAAATTTACACAACAGCGCGTCGTTCTAATTGCTGATTTGACAAGCAAGGGCGACCACAAGAAGTTGCGCTGCATTGGGACTGCCTAGATTCTCTCCAAGGAATTTTGCACCGATATTACACAGTAGTTTCAAAAGCGTTGGGGGACGCCACGAAAAAAAGGCCAAGTATTCTATCAACAGATCCAGCTATTTAAAATTAACTGAAAACTTTCTAAAACTTGTTTTGAGAATGCAAGTCTAGACTTTGTACTGACGCATGGCAGACACTTTTAACCAGATAAATGCCTGAGGTAGTCGCCAAACTGCATCAGATCGTTTTTCTCTGCCACACTTTTTGTTGTGACTATTGCAATTGCACGATTATAAGACAATTACATACTTATTCAATTTTGTGAGGTGAGCATGTAAACTTAAACAAACCGTCTGGTAATTGTAACGTAGAAACGTGACCCTGCTGAGAATTTATCTATCTTCAATTTAAGCAATTTGCGCTTTGCAGCTATCATTGACACACCACTCGCATCTTGCTTTTTCTACAATGTAGTGTACATCCAATTGTCATACTCCTTTCATTTGTTTAACCTGTGCAGCGTGTCTAATTTTTGTAACCGTATCAATCACAAACAATTAGCGTCTCCCACCATGCGATGTCCACGTCAAACGTACAAATTGTCGAGGGGAGAATCATCTTAATTCACGTCCGCTACTTCAATTCTTGATTCGGTTAAACAAAAGAAACGGACCTTTACTGCAGAAACGTTGTCATTTTCTTTGGCTTAACAACAGCAAAAGGTGGCTTGGCCATTGATTCCAAAATGCTTAATCCATAAATACTCGCACTGCTGAATAGGCTTGGAAACGAGGAGACAAAATCTTAAGTTGCTACGAAAAAACAAACACAAAAATTGTTAGTTTTTGCTAACAATAGGCTGAGTAAGTGGGAGCCCGGCATTTATTCAGTCTATTTCATTCTGTCTTCTTCAGTATCCTTCGAGCCCTGTCCTTTTCGTCTATAATGCTCTGGTTTCTGAGTTGGTGTGTGCAAGTTAAAATGCTCTGAGCCAATAGTGTACACGCACGACTATTTTGAGTCATATTGAAGGATACGCAGCGAGATGCGTCAGCTAAAAACCTCAAATCGGATTGCAATCGCTCGTTGAGTACCAGATCATCGCAGCGGTTCCTGCTTGAAGCCGTTGACATATCCGGGCGATGACTGGTAGCAATCAATCGATTGCAGAATGCCTTTAACATCTGCAGCCTGATTAGACATAGTCTATCTTGATCCGAAGGTGCCAGAGGACAAATAGCTAATTGTACAACTGGTAGAAAAACATCACACTGAATCTCGCAGGCGACGAGTTTTTGGAGTAGGAGCAATAAAAACAAATTTATTCGCGTCTTTCCATCATAACACGATGTAAGCTTCTGCTCCACAAAGTTGAGTACTTTACACATTAAGGTTGCATGGAGATTATCCATCATTGTCTTGATTAGTTCGGCAAACGTGTCAGCCCTTTCATGATAACAGTTGGGTAAAAATGATGACTGGACAATACATTCCATGACTTTGCGTCTGAAATCCAGCTTTGTACACTGCTCTAAGACCGCCCACAATAAGGCCTGAATACTATCACCAAATCGATGCATATTTTGTAACAATGCGAACACTCTCCTAGCGGACGAAGGTGGGCCTGTATACGCGCAATGCACAAGTTCGTGCACAACATGCTGGCGTAACCAATTTCGGCTAAGTCTCGTCGATGAATTCAAGCTCAAGACAACATTCATTACATCCAAGATCATCTCCTGTCGACGTCTCCGTCGTCCAAAATTTAACAATCGCACCAACAAGCGCAGTACAGGTCCAGTGGAAAGAACTCGTCTAGTCAGATCGCCTGCACTGGTCTTTGCCGAAGCTAGAGTTTGAATCGTTGTAAGAATAATAGTTGTTGATGCGGAAGCATTGGCTAAAGTGCGGTCATTTTCTACAAATGACTTTTGTACAGCACATCGCTTCACGATGCTGCCCACGTCAGCGTCTTCACAATTGTCGAGGTGTGAAACGACGACTTTACCAAAAATTATAGCCGAGTCTTCCAGGCCTGAATCTACAAGGGCCTCCAAAACCTCATGGAGCAAACTCCTGGCCGCAGGGCAAGAAGATGGGATCAGAAGATTCAACGCCTCGGAATACCTGATAGCAATTTCGCTTCGTGACTTGTGGTTAGCTACATGATTTTTAATTTGGCGAAAGCACGACCGGCAAACATGTATCGTCAGGCTTTGAATCTTTTGACCAAGTTCACTTTGGTCGTCCACAGTTTCTTGTACGATCAAGGAAACCAGAGCAAACATGCAACTCCAAGGGATGTTTATTCTATCGCCAGACCAGGATTCAATCCAGATATCGACAAATAATGCACTTGTGCAATCATTGGCAGCTCTCAAACCGCCGATTAACAGCTCAAATTGACGCTGAGTGTCTATCGTTGATTGGCCTTCGACAAAATCAAAATTGTCCAATGCCCGAGTGCTAGTAAGGTTTGATGCGTCAATCAAACTGTTGTATGTGCTCATTTGAGCGCAAACCCCACCAAACACGATCGACATGTGATCATATAAAATTACACGCAAAACTATTGTTTGCTCTGCTTCATGGCAATAAGAAGACAAAATGAAATTCAACACATGCTTGACAAACCATTCTGGATTCTTGACGCTCAATTTCGAAGTAAAGCGAGCAAGAAACGTCACCAAGTTTTTCAGATCCTCAGCGACCAAATTCGTACTCTGTTGCTTTCGTCTTCGTTCCAACCATTCTGCCAAAAGTGACGAGCTCCAGGTCGTGCTTGCGTACTTAAAGGCTCTTTCTAAACAGTCCGAGATCAATTTTGACTGAGAGTTGACAAGTTTATTCCTTAATGCATCGTCACTTATTATCACCTTCACAAACGCACAAGTGATCCGAGACACGCGAAGTTTGCCTTCTTCAGCCAAAAGCTCCATTATCTGCTGATTCGGATCATTTATTTGCCAGTCGAACTTTGTATCTATAAACGACAAAAGCGCTCTCCACAAAACCTGGAGGACTGAGTCACTCGATTCAACCGCGCACGCTGCAAGCCAAGGACTGAGGGAAAACATCTCACCATTGCGTTCTACCAAACACCGTAAAAGAGTTCTGCACGCCAAGTCATGACGTACCACCTGTAGCTTCGTTCTCACTGAAGTGGAGCTACACTTTCTCGCGAGCGCGTCTGCTACCGGGTATTTAGTAGTCGTAACAGACTCACTGGCTTTGGTCATTTTATCAATCATTGCAGGTAACAAAGCGTCCATAAACTCTGGTCTTCTGAATAGAAAGCCCGCAAGTACTTCGTCCAATAACGTTGGATAACTGCACGGGTAGTATGCAGCCAAAAGTGTTATAAGTTCCTGCAAGAAACGAGACGAAAAACCCGAGCAACTGCACCAATAATTCACGTGATTTCCTACGACTTTAACGAGTACCGCGCGGCTCATATAAACGTCCACGCGATCTACAAGACCTTGTGGCACAAGCTTTGTTGAATCGATCCCAAATCTAAGTAAATCCACATCCGCCACAACTTCATCGCGTCGTCCGCTTCTTCTCTTTCTCTTTAACGATCTGTTGCCACTTGATCCATTCGTCTCGTTCCTACAAGACGGAAAGTAAACATCCAACATAGAGCGCGTGACAGCTGGACCCGCGTCTCCACTAGTTACTCGCTTGCGCTCTCCATTCGTGTGAGTACCTTCGCGACTAAACGTCGGAATGATGGTCGGCATTTCCTTTTGAAAAAGCGACGTAGCTGGAGATTCCGTGTTGCTAGTAAGGCTACTAATGCTGATTGGCGCATTGTGGATTGTCCATCCTTCAGAATGTTGGTCGTCAAGTTTGACTCGCGTGCTCTTACTTTCGTCGTCTACCACAGCCATAAGCGACGCCATCTTCATCTTGGATGGTCGTGGAAGCGGACGATTAGTCGATTCCAAAGAATTTTGCTTATATGCATTGGAAGTAGATGAATGTGGACGAGGGCGCGTGCGTCCACGACGCCGCAACGCCTCGTCGTCGTCATCTTTGGTCATTAACTAGGTTTCTCCGCCCTCGTGTCTTTCGAGGAGTTTTTGATACTGGTGTGGGTGTAGCTGATCGAATGCAAACGGGTGACGGGTCGGGTTTGAAAAGGGAGGGAAGAACAGTCGACCCGGGCGTTAGAGTGACTGTGAGGAGTATAGCTATACTAATAGTTAGTAAATGGTAAGTCATGCAAAGAAGAGACAGTATACACAGTCCCGAAAGAACGATCTTTTTTCGTTAGGAAATTGGTAATAAACGTAAACTTGACATATCTTTCCAACTGGTGTCAGGCAGTAGAAATGCACAGGTCTAGCGATCATATCGCAACGATGTTTAGCGCAGAAAGAGTTGAAGATGCATCTTTACTCTATTGCGCAGCAGGTGCGATGTGCGTGGCACACTTTTCCAACGTCTTGATAGCCGAGCCCAATTTGTTGATTGTCTCTATATACTCAGCGTGTGGATCCGAGTCGTACACTATGCCGCCGCCTGCTTGCGAGTACACTTTTCCATCTTTTACTACCATGGTGCGGATGGCAATGGCAGTGTCTAAGAAACCAGAAAAACTGAAGTAGCCTACCGACCCAGAGTACACACCACGTCGCTCAGTCTCTAGTGAGCAGATAAGTTCCATCGCGCGCACTTTTGGCGCACCTGATAGAGTGCCGGCAGGAAACATAGCACGGTACGCATCATACACACTTCGATCCTCGCGCAATTCGCCTTTAACGACCGACACAATATGCATCACATGAGAGTATTTTTCTATGTGCATAAGGCGCTCAACTCGCACTGACCCCGGCTTAGCCACGCGGCCGACGTCATTTCGGCCCAGATCGACCAGCATAATATGCTCGGCACGCTCTTTTTCGTCAGAGAGAAGATCATTCATCAAATTTTTGTCCTCTTCATCAGTAGCGCCACGGTGGCGAGTGCCTGCAATCGGATGAGTCTCAACAATTCGATTGTGGTCAACCTTGACAAGCATCTCAGGCGATGCACCTACAATTTGAAAATCTTCACCCATATCTAGAATAAACATGTAAGGCGATGGGTTTATCATACGCATCTGACGATACAAATCCAATGAAGTCACGCCAGTTGGCAAATCAACGGTCAATCGCTGAGAAGGTACAGCTTGAAAGATATCACCATCTACTATGTGCTCTTTCAGCTTCTCGACGAAGCCTATGTAACCAGCTTTGCCAACATTTGAAGCAAGTTCCAGGTCAATCTTCGATGCGGTCGGAGCTCTGGCGTGATTCACACTTGAAGGACGAGTAATTGGCCTTTCAAGAGCAGTGCTTACGGCAAGAATTTTATCAGTAGCTTCTTTGTACGCAGCGGCTAAGTCGCCAGTGTCTAGACGGACATGTGAGACGATCTTGAGCGTGTGGAACACGTGGTCGAAGATCACGACCGTGTCAAAGAACATATAAATACTCTCAGGAATGCGTAACACATCGTTTTGAGCATCGATATAGGGCGCAATCTTGGGCTCAAAGTGGCGTATAGCATCAAAGCTACAGTAACCCACCGCTCCACCCGTCATAGGCACATTAAGCTCGGGCAGCGTCACAGTACGATAATTCTTCATTTCTTGCTCAAGGTTAGTCAATGGATCACCTTGACATGCGTAATTTTTTCCTGTCGCTATGACCTTAAGCGGTCCGGCCCCAATGAACGAATAACGCGCAATTTTCTCGCCAGGGGCTACAGACTCAAGCAGAAACGAGTGCGTCTGACCAACACGAAGCTTCAGCAGTACGCTCACAGGCGTGTCTAGATCAGCTACAGCATCGAGATACACGGGTGCGAGATTTTTGTCTGGGTGCTGCTGTTGCAGTCGCGCGATACGCTCTAATTGGGGCTCGATTGACATAATTGGTGTGCAGTAACGCTCTGGTGTATAATAGACCGAGGTTTCATATCAGTAAACGTTGCTACAGAGTGACTTAATAGTCCACTGATTTTATAGGAATTGAAAGAGAAACAAGAAACATTACTATACTTTGCAATACGAAAAACTGAGGTTGTATGTAGTTTCTTAGTTTTATGAATCATGTTACCGCAGTTGCATTGTCAATCAAAACATCTGATAAAATTTCGAGAGTTTATGATTTTGCGCACAAACACCCAGCTATACCCGTTTCATGATAACCACAATGGCTCTAGTTCTTGTTTAAATTCACACTGCCAACACTAAGCAATCACAAATGAAATGAGGCTAACTACCTTCCAGCCGGTATCAGTAACGAATGTGCATATAGCCAACTGAAAAGCTTTTGAGGAAATTTGCTCGTTTAAGGAGACACATAACACTGAAAATTACCGAGTGACTGTTTGCCATACCTTGATTGGTGGTATCATTTATCGATCTTGGATCCTACAGACTTTTCGATGCGTCTTTTCGCATTGCTAATAGATATCCTATTTGATCTTGAGTCGCTCTCATGAACTTTGGCATCATCAATAATCGTCGACCAGATGCGCGGCCTTCGTCCGTCAACGCGCTTCTGGAAGATCCTCGAATGCGAGAGATTGCCAAGCAAATGGGGCTTCAGCCCAAAGATTTTGGTAACGAGGCTAAGGCTCTTTGGAGCACTCTCAACAAGTTATCCACGTCGGATCCAAAACGTTATCAGTCTTTTATAAATGAGCAGTTGCAGGATGGCCCCCCGCCTTCCGAGTCACCATCTCATGAATGTTTAAAAGATGCGGCACCACCGCGGTTCTTCACTCCTGATCCAGGCTACGTGGTCAAGTGCATGATGTATCACACGATCAAATGTCAACGAAAAGTGACCAAACTCTTTCTCAATATCTGCGGTCACAAGCTCATTGATGTCCCTAATTATCCAAATTCTGGTCGTGAAGTACCCGAAGATACGCGTGTTATACCCAATACCAACAACTTGCAAGTGCCTCTTGTTGTAGGCAAGTTACGCGAGCACTGTAACAACAGTGGTGAGCTCTGCTGTGTCATTGATGTCGTCGTAAACCCGTGGGTTCTTCGCCGCAGTGATTGGGATGCAAATTTCAAGCGGGAAGTTATGAAGCTCGCAATTCAGTGGGTTCAAGAAGACGCTAACGTAACTCTTGTTATACCGTCGGGAAAGTTTATCAAAGCACGGTACAAAAGCGGTGTGATGGTGGGTAACGAGATCATTACGTCCAAATTCCGAATAGAAGACGCAGACAAGACCAAACAACGAATAGAATCACCAGGGGATCTCCTTAAGCAAATAAAGTTTGATGAAACGAAGGCGGACGAGAAGTTAGTCATCGAGCCGCCAAAACAGGCTCGTTCTGATCAAAAGCAAAGTATGACCCTTCATGCCTCTACGCTTGATGATTCTTTAAACTCACCGAAATTGGTGATGAAAGCTGGCACAGGCATCGAAAAGAAAAAAGTTTTGATCGAGGAATTACCGTCACCTCCGACCAAAAATCAGACAGCACTCGGCATCTCTACACCCTCAAAGACAGCAAACTCACAGCACAAAAGAAAAAGCAAAAGTGCGGTTAAGCGAGGATTTCTTAACTCGACAACGTCACAGCTGTATCCAATGGGATCAAATGAAGGCCGCCCATCGTCAGCGTATGTCAACCTATTAAGTCGCAGTAAGGTCGTGGATTTGACCGGGATGGATCAGCAACAGAAATCAAAACAAGATGAACACGAAGAAGCAATGAACTTTTTGAAACCAGCAAGGACTGCCGAGACGACTAAGAAGCATTCTGTGACAGCATCTGAAGAAATTGACCACGGGGATCACATTTTTGAGCAGCTGTGCGAGCAAGCTGAGTCAGACTTCGGATTCAAGCAAACTCCTTCGCAACACAATGGCAGCAACGATACATCATACAGTGACCAACTTTTTGGCGAGGGATTCGAAGAGCTTGCGAAACTATTGGCACCGTAAGTTCTAGATCTTTTGAAATCTTCAACCATTATGTGTCAGTTGACCAGCTAAACTGATACTTACTTATCAATCTTATACCACTTTTAGTCCCTAGTATCTGGATTAACAATGTCATGGATACGCTGATACGACATGAGCAGGAACGGATTAAGGCGCTGCATACTCGCGACAGTGGACGAAAATTGCTCGAGACGCTTCAGCAGTATCACAGTGTTGTGTTTGACGCTAATTGAGGGGTGGAAGATACCCTGCGCAATCGTTTGCAAGCCACCACGCAATACCGGCAGAAAGCTTAGAAACTCTTGTAACTCCATTTCTGTGTTCAGTAAGGTAGCGAGGTCCGAGTAAATTTTCTCAACAAGACTGTCATCAAGGACAATCATGTCGCCTTGAAGACTCTGAATGTGTCGCTTTATATCCACACCAGTTTTCTCTACGTAAACACAATAAGTGGCTCACGTTAAGGAACTCTGTCAGCACAAAATTGAGTACGCTTGTATGAACTAGATTAGAAGAGCAAGCATGCAATTGAGGAGGATATATTAAACGCCGGTGAGTGAAAGTGCGTTCGTTGCGGGGAGTCCATAAAACGCTTGTAGTTGTCAGAGTGCGTCCACTTTGCAATTCGCTTACTATTGGCTGCAGATCGCTTCGCCAGTGCATCAGGACTAAGGTTGCTCGTCTCTCCAAGCGCAACGTCCACAATGTTTTTATGCGTATACTCTTCAAACATGAAGCGGACCCATTCTTCATCATATCCTGCTGCAACGCCATCCAATACCTGTACATGGTGATCATAACCCAACCATAAAGTAGCCCAGTGTGTGTCATTTCTTCGCTTACCTCAAGCACAAAATTGCGATCTGATGAATCATAATCTTCCTTTTCCACTGGCGCTGACACGAATACTTCTCCTGTCGAAATGTCACACAGCACATCCCACCACTCTCGCTTCGTCTTGAACATCGGATTAGTGACACCAGCAATGAACCCAGGCGTCGACAGAAAGCCCAAATCCGTCAAGTTTGCATACCTAATTTTCTCATATGATTACTTGATACCGCAAAATACTCAATCCATTACTTTCAACTTACGGATACTGGCGATGGATCAGCCCAAACAAAGGTGGGCATACCATTGAGCTGATTGCAAGCACAAAATTGCACACTTCTCCAGCTGGCCGATTGTACCCCAGCATGATCAAGCGTTGACCCGTCAGCACAGCATTGTACAAAACCATCGTCTGGTCGCCAAAAGTTTGCAGTAACAGCGTGAGCGTTCCATCGTCATGTTGATCATCGGTGCTGCAGATTTTAATACGCAGTGGAATTGAAATATCATCCCAGATTGCTTGTGCCTTGAAAAAAAGTGCCTTTTCTTGTAGTTTAGCATCCTCTTGATTCGCTGCAGCACGTCCAGTACTACTAATTGTGCGTTTCAAGAGTCGTCTTTCCATATTGGACAAACTGCGTACACCCGAAATGTCAATTGCATTGATCACGGCGAAAAGCTCTTTTAGTACATTTTCACTCTCGACCTCACTTTTTGAGCCCACAATTTTGAGCACAGCTAAATTGAGCACATCTTTAAGTGCAAAACAGCTTTTATGGGTCGAGCACAGCGCTACAGCCGTCACTTTGGCACCACGACGAGCTGCCGTGTCGTGCGTAGTGCGCACCACACTAAGGCAGTACATGAAGCTGTGCAACGGATTTGAAGGATCGACCATTGAAATTTCTTGACTTTTATCATCTACATTTTCGCTGAGCTTAGACTGATGCTGACGATTGAGGAAAAAAATGGTGAAATCTTCCTTGCGGTTGTGCACGCCTTCAGGCAACATTATGTCGGCAAAAAATTCGGGAGAGTAGTGCACAAAGGGTAATGGGTAGCTTGCACGCAATGTGCTTCCTTTAGTGAGATCGAACTCAGCGTAAAGTACCACCTCAGCTAATGGCCGCACGGCCGAAGAGTAGGCGTCATCCACAGTCATGGCTCAAACAGTATTGTAATATGTTGATTTGCTCAAAATCTGAACTACAGAGATTTTGTAGTCCGAAATAAATTAAGCATTTTTTTCCTTTGTTGCAACATTGCGAATGTTACATCAAACAAGTAACGGGATAAAAGGTACCCTGGTATGAAGAGTGGGTATCAGGGTGCAGGTAACAAATAGCACAATGGTGTGGCTACACTAGCACTGCGCTGGACTGCCAGCAATTATGCGTTTTTTTATTTAATCAGGAAAACCTATGGATTTAGGTATAGGCGGCTTTGCCACAAATAAAACCAAGAAATACAGTAACGGAAGAGTTTATTTGCCTTGGATTAAAGTTTTAAGTACTAGCCGCTACACTCCGCCTGGTTCTAAGTATAGAACAAAGGTTAGCTAGCTTCCTCTAAGCGAAATAGCTACGGCAGCCCCGCTGCACTTGGTAGCATTGTAGTCAATCTACACCTGAGTCGTTACGACTGATCCAGTAAAACTACTGTTTGCCCCACGGCATGCAGGACGGGCTTAAAAAGCTAGTGTCTCTGCTTGGCCCTGAGGGCGTGCAATACAAGGATATGGAGCGGTAAGTGCGCGCCTTTAGGCGTTTGCGAGCTATGGAAATGCTCTGCTAGAGCACCTAGAGCAGAAGATACTGGCGTCGACTGCTTCCAAGACGCAACCGTCGACGACGGATGACTCCTCCCAACCCAGGCCGCTTATGGTGAGTGTTAAGACCTTCGAGGGCAAGGATGGAGAGGATATTCTGCTCTGAGTGAGAGAGGTCGAGATGGCTATGGCGTCCGCCATGCTCCAGACCGAGCAATAGCGCAGCTATTTCCAAGCTCAGTGGTTAATTGCAAGATTGGGCACTGACGTGCGGCACTTTGGTTGAAGCGGCGTTTCCCTTCTGGACGGAGCTGCAGATATTACGAGTGTTCTCACCGCTTAATCAGGCATATCGCGTGCGATCGCGTTTCCTTACCGTCCGGCAGGCCAAGAAGGGGTTGGTGGGCTTTGTTTAAGAGTTGTGTACTCTCGTTGCCGGAATGGCAGCTGGACGGTACCAAGTTGTTCAATCGAAATGACATAGAAAGTGTATCGCTTTGATACATCCTCTCCCCGAGGTGGTCACAGTGACCGTCTTATTGGAGGGCCTCTGCACTGGCGTGGTAAGAAGGGAAGTGTTTCGTGTGCATTTGTCTTCTTTTGAAGAAGCAGTGGATGTGGCATTGAATGCCGAATTCAACTTTAGGTCGGTACGAATTGGTTGAAATGCACACTCTAGTAGCTCGCTGACCTGATGGGTCTCAGCTATGCTGAGAAAGAGGAGGCAGAGATCCGAGCTGCCGAGCAGCGTTCGAACACCCAATGTTTTTTGTCTGTGGGGACATCCGTCACCTTCGCATTGGTTGTCCCCTGCACAAGGCGCGTCAAGGTTCATCAAACAGACGTCCCGCTTTAAACCAGTCTGATTTGTCGCGGAGAACTGACAAAAACCCAGTAGGCGCAGGGCGGCAGGGCGCAGGGCGCCCTGCTGGGGGAAAACTGAGTTCTGTTGAGTTTCAAAGTGCTAGAGGTCAGTGGGTTTGCAAGCCGGGTTTGCTGGCCGTAAAAGCGACCGTGAAGAACTTTGAGAAGCCATGGAGGATCCTGATCGACTCCGGGGTGTCGGGCAATTATGCTCGACGCTCCACGATGGAAGATAGTCAGCTGTATGCTGAGGCGCTGAAAAGCGGCTGAGTGACATTGTCACTGTCTGCTCAGCGACGGTTACATATGTCACGGTGCCGAGGGTTCTTGTAGACCTCGGTGTCAAGTTCTTGATTTTGATAGCGTGGAATGCTGCTTAGTCTTAGAATCGAATTCAAGGTACGACCTCTTACTTGGTATGGCATGGATGAAACATCATGAGCCATGGATCGTTTTTCGGTCGAAGATCTTGAACGCTACGCGCGCGTCTCCTGGTGGACTTTGGTGAGTCATGAACTCACCTCAACTTGGAAATTAAAACGCTATTGGCGCGGGCACTGAACCGGGACGGTCAACGTGCTAGAGATCGGGGTATCCGGGTTTTCGAACCCCGAAGATGTATCATATAGGAGTCCCGAGTTTGGCTCGCAGGGTGGACGTGGAGTGGCACTTAATCCACTGAGGACCGCTCACGTATCGAAGCAATCGCTGCTTGCCTCGAGTGCAAGGTCGGACAAAGTCCGAGGCATCTTGGGCAAGGCCCTTCAGATGCGCGTGGAGTGGTACGTTATCCGCTATGGAGCTAACAACTTCTCGTCGGATGAGGTCAATAACATCAAGGCTTCGGTAGAGCAGGGAATGGGGAGACTGGATGACGCCGAGTGCGTGATTCGATGAGGCGTAAAGCCTCTATTAAGATGCGACGGCGACACCGCATGCTAGCTTCAATACGCCGGAGGTCAATCCTGACCCAGGAAGTGTCTACCGTAGATGATAGCGCTCAGACATACACCCTCGACAACGGTATGACGGGGGAGGAAGACGGCGGCGTCACCCTAGAGGCTATTTCTGCGATGGATGCTCTTCCTGGATTAGACGAGGTGTCCTTCGAAGACTTCGGCGGTGCCGTGAAGGCAGGCGACTTAGCCGAAGTGGTCATTTGACGACCGGAGGAGGATATTAACTCGTCGTCACTTCTGTATGAAGTTGTCCTGTGGTACACCAAGAGAGTGCTGAACTCACAAAGTGAATCTTCGACCCTAAAGAATCCATCGGATACGTACTATCCTGTGGTGACGGATTTTTTAGACGCCGTCTCCAAAGACCCGCCGTTGAACTACATCCGGACCGAGATGTGCGACATGAGATCGACCTGGCTCCAGGATCCAAATACTGCCTAACACGCCAATGACCCCTGTTCAAGGAGCAGTGTGGTCGCCGACCTATTCGGTCCATGAGACATCATGCAAAAGTGGATCTTTTTAAACTATTTTTGAGGTATTTACACGATCGTGCTGGTGCCAGCACATGCTAAACAAGACAAAAAAGATATTTTTGTTTAAATATCCACGCGAATGATTCTGCTATGTTTATTTTCTTTGATCTGGAAGATTATTGTGACATCGACTTGGTAGCAGGTACTAAGTAGCCGAAGGGCTATCTTCAGAGTCCCCGTGGTCATCATGAATACTGATATCCCGGTACTTGTGAATATTTGCAATTATTTCAGGAGTGACGCAATTAATGCCACCTGCACCGCGGACCCCTGTTTAAAAGACTTCATCAATGTCGACATTCCGGTACTTTTGAGTATTGCGATTGCACCTAGTATAACGCGAAAATCGCACACTTATTTTGTTGTACGAAATGGACTAAAGATAATTACACAAGATAAAAGCACTTGTCCCGTTACACAAATATACTATTTTACCTCGCAGTGTCGATATCCAGCTGCTTCTTTTGAATTTTGCATTTGGCACTCACCACAAATTTATTCTCGATCGTAATATATCTACGACCGGAAAACAAATCTAGAATATATTGATTTCGTACTTCTGCTTTAAACCTCTCGCAACTACATCTCTATTCTAATTACGTTTTTGATAGAAGACATTGTGAATAACCGCAAAAGTGATCTCACCTCCTGGCTCTATGTCCGTATTTGGTTCTGCTCGTTGATGCGAAGGTCAGCTCCCATAACTTCGTTCCGCTTCATTGTGATGCTGCTACGTATCCTCACTTCTCATCACGCACGCAAGAACACCGTCGGTAAAGATTCCGTCTCAGTCGAATCGAGCACGCTTCGGGGTGAGCTCCTTCTAGTAACCCTACTTTATTTGAGCCGCTCCTAAGCATTAAAATCAAAGTGCACTTCTTCTTGTTTGCTCCGCTGCATATACTGCGTCATTACTGCTGAATCGTGTTCTGGACGGGCAGTTTCGCTAATCTGACCTAATTGGTCGTAATAAATTTTGCGCTTTACCCCGCAGTCACAGCTTGGAGCACCACCTTTCCAAACGTTTCCTTGTCCACCTTTCAATGCGCCAGTATTCTGATTTACGCACAAGGCTTTCTCTGTATCATCCTATCTGCGCAGCTTCTAAGATCTCGTAAGCACCTTCTTCATGACTTATAGTCATCAACTCAATATTATTCGCTTCTTCTTCAAATCCATAAAGTCAGCTCATATTTTGAGGAGAAGACTGCTGAAAAGTACCACCAGCTGGTACGACCCGTCAACATTCTCTCCCATTATCGGAAATCCCAAAACCAGCCTATCTAAAGAGTCCAGATGCTTGACTTTACTATTATCACTCTCCTTCTTGAAGTCATGAATGTAATGCGTCATGGTCACGCGGTTGTGCAGAGTCGAGCTGTTATAATTTTTACGTAGCGCTTACCATATCTTCGTGGTGCTCTTGCCGACCGTATCCTGCCCTAAGGTTGAAACTCAACGCCTAGCGCAATGACACCCACATCCGTCGTTCACAAGCCGCGTCTCCATGATATTGCTCTCATCCCACACATACATACCCCACGAGATCCATCCTAAAAGATTTCTATTTTTCCAAGGAGAGCCATTCTTGTCAGAGTCATTCTCATAATGAATGTTCAAAGGTATTAATCAACTTTCGCCAGGAGGACTCCGCTGTGTTTGGTTGCTATCACGTGCATGGATTTTGTAATGGAGGAAGTTTTTTTGCTTTGTGATCTCTGTTGAGTGAGACGTGAATAATGCTTGTATTCCTTCGTCCTTACGCTGTCGAAATTATACCATAGTGATTCGCTCAGAATTATTCTTCTGAAATTATCAACCATAATCGTATACAGTCTATTAATCATAATAGGATGGGATGACACTAGCCAGAAAACAGTTTTGAGAGGCGTCATCTCAACAGACTTGTAATAAAAAGATTGTTGCATCACCTTCGTTGGCATCAATAATTAATAATCAATATTATTGATAGTAGATGTTTTTCAGCGGGACAGCCGTAGCTCTTTCGTTTAGAGGAAGCTAAGCTAAGGTCGGC